AATATTACATAATTTTTCATGCTTTTTTCGCCGCAAAATCTTTGATTACGTCATCAAAATTGATCGAGTTTGCTACTTCGCTTTCTATTGAAAGAATAGACAGAGATTTAAATCAGTCTTGGCTTATTGATTATCGAAGATAATTTTTTATTAGTTTCAACCTCGAGAAACTACGTTCAGCTGAAGCTACGGTTACTGGCGTAGTTAACATTACAGTATTTGTAACGCAATTAATAAATTTGGGTATGCTTCCGAATGATTGTTTTTTATAATGCATTTCATTGCATCTTGAGCCGAATAATTGGCTTGCGTTATCGATCGGAACATCTTAATCTCTTCAAACATTTCAATAAATATTCATCTAAATTCGCAATCTCATTCATATATAGAAAACCAAAAATATTCTGGTGATTTGCATATAATTCAAATCTACTTTTAAATGATACTAACGCAGTATCTATTATTTTTAAAAAGTAATATGACGATTTTAGTCTCTGTAATCCAAAAATATTCTTGGTAGACAAATCTCACAGCAATCTTATTGGCAAATTAAATTTATTTTATAAAGACTACATCAAATGCATTTCGGGCTGGTCTAATATTTTCCAGTCCCTCTTCAGTGAATAACCGCTGGTGGTAATTACAATGATATTTCCATGGGTAGGGGTGGTAAACTTTGTACACATTTGTAAGAATCTAGTTTAAAAAAAATTTTTTTTTTCCACATACGTGTATATAGTTTCACGTATCGACTGTTTTAATTTCATGGTATTTGGTGTACATTCTTCCCTTAGGAAACACTTTAAGTAATTAATGTCATGCTCCAACATTTCTGCCGTTTTCGTAACTTTTGCCAATCTGTTATCCATTTTTCAATTTTCTTTTCAATTCTTCAAAATATATATAAATGGTTTGCTGTATAATAGTTAATATGACGATTTTAGTCTCTGTAATCCAAAAATATTCTTGGTAGACAAATCTCACAGCAATCTTATTGGCAAATTAAATTTATTTTGTAAAGACTACATCAAATGCATTTCGGGCTGGTCTAATATTTTCCAGTCCCTCTTCAGTGCTAAAATAATAACAAAGAACGTAAAATGTTTAACTAAAACACGACATAGATGTATATCTACACCAAAATTATAAATTTTGGAGAAAAACTTACAATAACCGCTGGTGGTAATTACAATGATATTTCCATGGGTAGGGGTGGTAAACTTTGTACACATTTGTAAGAATCCTAAAATTACAATTATCTTTTTTTGTATAAAACAATATAAGGCTAATACAAATAATATATTAAACAATACTTATACTTACAAGTTTAAAAAAATTTTTTCCACATACGTGTATAATAAACATACCAAAACCAACTAATTATTAAAAATTCATTGACAAACAATTGTAAAAATAATTCCAAAGCACTACAAATTTTTAACTTCATACCATCAACACTTTACAAAGTCACACAGTAGACCACCAACACTTTACAACGGTAATCAAGTGATGACGTCTTAATACATAACCATTTATTTTTTATTTTATTCTAGCGCCATCTATTAGATTGTACCAGCTATAATTTATTTCCATCCCTTTCGACTGATTTATTAAATTATTATTATTTTGTTTTCTAATTTCTATATGTTCTTTGAATTTTCTTTTATAAATATCTTTTTCAATATGTAAAATTTTTACATTGTTTCTATTAATATTACAATTATTACTATTGATGTGGTTAAACCACGGAGAATTATTATACTTAAGCCGAATGGCCGCTTCGTGTTCTTTAACTCTAGTTTCTAGTACACGCCCGGTTTCTCCTATATATACACACGGATTATGACAGTCACATTCAATTCTATAAACCACACCAGCTTTTTTTAAAGGGTCTAAATTATTTTTACTATTATTATTAATATGTTTACAAATGTTTTGTGAAATACTATTGGTCAAAGATGGGGCCAAACAAATATTATGATTCTTAATACTTTTCCTGCACTT